GACCCATTTCATTTTGCTCCTTAAGAGTCATCAAAGTGGTGGGTATTTTGAAAGGAAAAGATACAAAGGGAATAAATACCAGTCTCATTTTTTTTCCATCCTAAAAGTGTAATACACCCTAGAGTATGAACCTAAATCTCCCTGTCCTTGGGGAACTGGGCCAGCAAGAGAGTTCCTCTCCATGTGGCTGCTCACGTGGGTGCTTTTGCTGCTCTGACAGCCTTGCCAGCTTCCTGAGCTTTGCTCATTGGCAAATAAGAGCCATAGCAACATGGATGGTATTGTCTCCAGAAACCCCAAGCAGTTTATGGGCAGTTTTTAAATTTTTTTCCTGTTTTCTAATGCCTTGAATATTGGAGTTTCTTGGATTTTATTTCTTCCACCGCTGGTTAAAAAGCATAACTGTAGGCTTCCTTCCGTGTGGCTCTAGTCTTATGAATGGCCCATACAAACGCTAACCACCTCTTCCTCTTCCTCTGCCTTTGAACTCCCAGTTTCCTTCCCAGAGCCCTCCTTCATCATCTACACCCTTGTCCTTTGACATTCATCCCAGGAAGACCTAAAGAGCCTTAAGGTAAAAACAAAAACAAAAACACATTATTCATGTTTATGCTTCAGGTGCCCCAAATATACAAAATAATAGTTAATAAGTCTTCATTAAACTGAGTAGAACTTGCCAACAACCAGAGTCTGGCACTCTGGGCCCCACGTTTCTGCATCAGAGTCATCCTTTAACTTTGCCTGGGAGCCCCTGTGTCTTTATATTATACTTTGCCCTCTCACTGCTCGGAGTGCCTTTATTTTAACTGTTCTGCTAGTTAGAAGGTTCTCTTTCAGGGTACTCTAAAAGCCTTGTTCTTATTTGAAATAAGAACAACTAACATGTAATGAAAGGCATGATGCTAAGCTGAGACCAACCTTGAGAAGTGAGTGATGCCATTATCCCCTCATTACAGATGAGTACAGTGAAGCTTGGAGAGGTTAAATAATATGTTTAAGGTCACATGCTAATAGTGTATTTTATCAATTGCATGATATCCATTTTTTTTTAATACACTAAGATCTTTGCAGTAGGTGTGCATCTCCCAGTCAATGGGGGTTCCAGTCCTGAGGGGTGACATTGCTTTGCCTGTGTGAGCCTGGACACAAATGCTCACTGACCTCATGCCACTTCCTTTATGTGTATCCTTGATACTCGCTTCTTGAGTTTAGTTGCAACGTGTTTGTTTTGAAATTCAAGAGGGTAAACGTTTAAGGCAGCATGCCTGTTTTTTTTTTTTTTCCTCCAACACTCATTTAGACATTTACGCTCTCATCACTGAAAAGAAAAAAAATCACTGTGGAAAACCAGACAGATCTCGTAGTAGAGCAGTGGAGTGTGAGTTTGACGTTAGTGAAGCAAACATTTATCGCTGGAAGAATAACTGCAATTCCATATTTTCTCACCCAGTATCAATTAACTACTTGGAAAGGGGAATACCCGCAAAAGGATGAGGCTGTGTTTGTGTTCTGTTGCTGAGATAACATGCAGAGCAAACGGATTAGTTGTCACACGTGAAGCAATGCCACAGAATGCAAGAGAAATTGCTAAATCTCTTTGAATAGATAAAAGAAATGTCAGGGCATTCAGAGGCTGCTGTGAGTGATTCATGGGTATCTCAGGACTGTTGTTAAGGCATTGTGTCATCGTTTAAATGCACGTGTTTTGTCATTGCTAATAAAATAATGATGCATCTTAACGATCATTGATGTCTTGGATTCTATGAAATCCTTCAAGTGGCTGATCAAGTTTCAAACCCAAGCAGGCTAGCTACAGAGATTTCATCCAATCCGTACAACTCCTGGCTTTTATTATCTCTACAGTAAAACACTTGCAGGGTATAAAGGGGCTTACACATCAAGTTTTAGAACCCAGCTTTGCCAATAGTGAGAGCATGAATTCTTTATTGAATGCTTAGAGTCCTCTTTAAAGCAGAATCTCCCCCAACTCTCAATACCCTGTGACTTTAGTTAAATCTATTTTAAGTTAGACACCTTATAATTGATTACACCATTGACACCAGACAGCAGATTGTACTATGTTCCTTTCTTCCATGCCTAACAGAGACATTAAGGAAAGACTTATGGTCACCAAGATAACTGCAATTTTGGGGGTTGGTGGAGATATTCTAGTTCAGAACTAACTGAGAGCGCCATGGGTGCCAGAAAAATGGTGATGAAAATCCTAAAATAGTGATAAATAATCAGAAGACACAGCGTGGATGTATGTCCACTACAAGGGTGCTAAAGTTCACCCTTGAATGTTTCTTTTTTTTTTTTTTTGAGTTGGAGTCTCACTCTGTCGCCCAGACTAGAGTGCAGTGGCCGCTCCAGGCAGCCTCGACCTGCTGGGCTCTGGCGATCCTTCCGCTTCAGCCTTCCAAGTAGCCGGAACTACAGGCATGCGCTACCACGGCCGGCTGATTTTTTGATTTATTGTAGAGATGAGGTCTCCGTGCCCAGGCGGATCTCGAACCCGCGGGCTCAGGCAATCCACTCACCTCAGCCTCCCAAAGGCGTGGGATTACAGGCTGAGCCACCGAGCCCAGCTCCTTGAATGTTTCATACTTTCTACCTGGCCCAGTGCCACAGCTGAACAGCTGAGGGGGCAGGGTCTTTACTACAAGGGGAGCTGATCTAAATGCTTGTGTTTTGTAAATAGGCTGGTTTTGAAAAGAGAAAGGGAAAGATGACAAGTGAGGCATGCTTGCTTCCTTCTCTGCGACTCTCACTGCTTCACCTGGGGAAGGTTGAGTGAGCAATGGGGAGGGAATGCCTAGGCACATCACATCACTCTCCTGGAGATCCCTTCTCCGGATAGAAATCAAGGCCTCAGGAAAAGAGGCTCTCAATAACCACAACCATGAATAAGGACACCACCAGCCATAAAGTTCATGTTTAGAGTTTCCCTCATTCTAGCTCAGGCCTGAATCAGTAGACTTGGCTATGTGAGGCAGTGGTGAGGCTGCACTTAATTTGAACACAGCACAGTCCTCTTTTGTCTAGAATTCCTTTTTACAATTTTCATTTAGTTGGATAGTACCCATAGGTACCTTGGCCTCATCAGTCTTCATAACATGAAAAATCTGCAAGAATGAGCAGAAGCTGTTGTTCTATCCCAAAGCCAGCATTTTACTTAGAAGAAAACTTGAAAGTGCAGATACGGAAGCTTCTCTCTTCTCAATACCAAGACTTTTCATCAGAAAAAAACGGTCGCCAGGCATGGTGGCTCAAGTCTGTAATCCCAGCACTTTGGGAGGCTGAGGCAAGAGGATTGCCTGAGCCCAGGGGTTCGAGACCAGCCTGGGCAAGTTGGCGAGACCTTGTTTCTATAATAAATCAAAAAAATTAGCCGGGCATGGTGGTGCATGCCTGTAGCTCCAGCTACTTGGAAGGCTGAGGCGGAAGGATCACCTGAGCCCAGCAGGTCGAGGCTGCTGTGAGTATGCCACTGCACTACAGCCTGCGCAACAGAGTGAGACTCCAACTCAAAAAAAGAAAAAAAGGTCAATCTTCTGAATATTTTGGCATGTGATGGCAAATATCTGAATATTTTACAGATATGAGTATTATCAACCTGCAAGTCTGAATTTATCCATGTAGCTTTGCATTATATTGCTTGTATGTCACTATATATTCTGGATCTAACTTTTCATTTTCAACTGATCTCTCATAACCCATGATTTCTCTCTGAAGTTATTCAAGTGTTGACTTAAAAATACATAATTACCGCCTTGTAAGTAGCACTCTACAGGTGCATTTTATTTTGTGTATTTTGAGTTATTAGAGAGATGAGGTCTCACCATGTTACCCAGGCTGGTCTCAAGCCTGTGGGCTCAGGCAGTCCTCTCACCTCCACCTCCCAAAGTACTGGGATTACAGGTGTGAGCCACCACATCCAGCTAATTTTGTGTGTTTTAAAAATATTTGTACATTTGTCTAACTAGTGTCCTTTTGTTACCACGGTGCTGAATACATAATAAATCCACTATAAAGACCTATCAATTGGTTAATCACTTCAGAACTGCAACTCAAAAGAGACAGTGGGCTTTCATTTGTTTTTATTGTTTTATTCTGAACATTAGACTGGTGGTAGTTTTGCATGGATAGATTTTGGCGAATCAGTTCTTGAACTGAAGATGAACTCAGGACTAGTATTCCCGTGCTCCTGGAAATAAAAATATGCAATCTTCTTATCATTATTCTTAATTGAAAAACCTATATTGTATGTTTAGCTTGTTTCTGGCTTTGTGGGGGCAAGTGGCTGGACTTGGAAGGTAATTGAGGAGAAAGGTCATGCTGTGGCCCCATGTAGGAGGGTGTAGGGCTTACACCCCGGTGAGCAGCACTGTAAGGGGCATCCATTTGAAGACAGAGAACCAGAAGGTGCATGACTTGGTGTGAGCAGTTCCCAGCAGGGAGTCTTCTTCCATCGCTGCCCAGGCTGCGTTTTCACTGAGGCTGGTTTCCTTCTTCTTTCCTTTCCTCCCCTCAATGTGTCATTGTGCATGTCCGCCCCTCCTGATGACACCTCTCCTTTCAACCCCACAACCTCCTCTTTGGTGATTCCAGAACATGTTCATTTCTGTCTTCCACAACAGCTGTGAAACTCACTTGCCTGCACGGCACAACCACTCATTCAGATGCACGACCTTCTTTGCTATTGTCGTAGATAGATGCGTGCATCTGAGCTCTGACTTTGCCAGGAACTAGCAAGTGACCTTAAGCGAGCTGTTTGTTATTTCTGGTACCTCAGTCTTCTCACCGGGGGAATGATCTCCAAGGTCACTTCTGACTTTGGGATGTGCATCCTATGAGAGCATGCACCATGATAAAACGTTGTGGAGTGAGCAAGCAGTCCCCACCTGCAGCCTCTCCCTCCCGCAGAGGCAGTTGTTCAGCCTGACTCATGTCTGCTGCCAGCTCTTCTTTTGGCTAACTCTCTACTTTTCTTTTTCAGGGCTGGGAGAAGGTTCTGCCCTCCTTCATCCAGACAGCAGATCCCATCCTAGGTCCTTAGAGAAAAGTGCTTGGAGGGCTTTCAAGGAGTCACAGTGTCATCACATGCTCAAACATCTGCACAATGGCGCGCGGATCACTGTGCAGATGCCGCCTACAATCGAGGGCCACTGGGTCTCTGCTGGGTAAGAGCAGCGAGGGTGGGAGGGGTCTGGGAGGGACAAGAGAGCAAACTGCTATGGAAGACCCATCTTATGGGTTCTCAGATGCATACAGACTTTATATAATCTACAGTGATTTCAGTGCTATCTAAATTCTAGCTAAGAACCAAGCCCTTCTTTGAAATTATGGTTAGTTAAGAAACAGAGCTAAGTACTGTAGAAATCTTACTCTAAAGCAGAGATTATATTGTACTCCTGTTAACCACACAGTATGAGTGAATAGATCCTTGTTTACTGAACTCTATGGGACCACTTGTGTATAAAAAGAAACCATTAGCAAGTGAAATTAAGAGTCTGTGTTTCACCAACCCTGAAACATGACTTGCAAGCTCCTTATGGCCTAAATATTCTAGCCATATTCTGGTAATTTAATATATGGCTTCAGGGTTCTAAAAGTAAGTTAAAAGCTACCTCTACTAGCCAGGGCGTAGAGCTTGGATTCTTTTCCATGCTGTGAAGCTGAGATTTATCCCAGTTTGAGCTCTGGCTTATCTTCCATTAGAGCTTTTAAAAATAGCCTAGAGGCAGATCTGTGATTTTTTTTTCTACCCATTAAATTGTTGAGAATTAACAAGACTAACTCTGGGATCTGATCACTTCTCCCTGTACACTATTCCTGGGATATGGATAGCAGCCTTCAAGTACCTTGGGGAGGGATCAAATGAACATGGAGAAGAGAAAAAAAGAAATTTTATAAGATGAGGAGGACTCAGAATTTTTTTTTCTAAAAATGAGATCTCTCAAAATAACCACATGATAAACAACTTGCATCAACAATCTTAATGGTATGTACTTTATAATTATTTATCATTTTATTCACCAAATATTTATTGAGTGCCTACTGTGTGCTAAGCACTATTTTAGATTTTGTGTATACAGCAGTGGGCAACACAGTCATGATGGCTATCTTCAGGGATTTTGCAAATAGACACACAGAGAAGTACCATGAGAGTTGGGGGGGTGGGCAACAGGTGCCAAAGGAGAATGCCAAAGGGCCCTATTTTAAGAGCAGGGTGGGGTCCAGAAAGTACCAAAGAAAGGGGCCCTTGACTTGAGGCACTGTTGGCTGTACAGATACTGTGAGAAGAGATTTCTATCAGAAGAACTGGCTAGATTGGAAGGCTGGCTGACCTAGAGCCCTGTGGTAGGGGCATGATAAACCAAGGAGAATAAGATAAGGCTGTGGGGGAGGGTGGGCCAGCGCTGAGAACACCTTGCAGACCAGGTCTTCTTCTGACCTAAAAACCTAGAAAGTCATTACAGAGTTTTCAGCAGTAGCCATGCTTAAAACATGATTCAACCTATGAAAGGTCACTCTGGCTAGTGTGTGGCAAATGGATTAAAGGAAAAGTGATTTGGGGATGATGAGTTAAAAGACCATTGCAACTGTTCTGGCTAGAGAGGATAGCAGCTTAGGTAAGAGGATTGCGGGGTGATTGAGAAGTGACGGGGCCTGAGAGCTGCCAGATATGGGAGGCAGAATAAACAGACTGTCGAGGCACAGATTAAAAATTAAAATAAGGGACTGTCTTTTCTAATCCTCAACTGACACGAATCACTCCTTACATTAAACTTTTCTTTCCTCAGGGGAGAGATCTGAGCTGTTTTTTCTTTTTTTCTTCTCAGATTATAGGTGCTCTGAGTACTGCTGAGTGCTCTACGTCCATAGGGTTTTACATGATATCAGTTGTCAAACTTTACCTGGCGACAGACACCCCTTTTAAATGATGCTTCTATTTCACCAATCTGTTAACCACAAAATTAAAGAATTAGCAATTTTAAGACCCATTAGTGTTTGGGATTTCAGCCCAACTGCTTGATTCAGCAATGCTATTTCAGCTGAAATCAGAATCTCTGTTCAGGTTATAGACGTGAGCAGGCTTAGAAAGCCAAAACTGATGAGCTGAAAGTCATGGCATAACTGAGACTAAGATCTAACAGAAGATTATTTGGTCAGTGCTTTAAGAACTTCCCCTGGAGCAGTCTCTGCTGGTTATATATGAATCGATGACAAGTAGAACAGTGTGAGAACGTCCCTGAATTAAAGTCCACTCCTACGGATTTTATCTGTAGAGTGAGTCTAGATGTTTCCACTTTGGGAATCTGGTATGGCTCTACTTACACATTGTCAACCAGCACAAACAAAAAGAACCCTTATTCCTTTTGTTGTGGTAGCTTTACTCTCGCTTAATTGCTCCTTTATTTTTCTGCTGGAGGGAAAATTAATTTTGAACGGACCCAAGGGTGAGTTTTCATTGGCTATTAGGGGACTAGATTTGGGTTCAGGATGATGGACATTTCACACCTGCTTACTGTAGACAAGGCCCATAAATTGAAAGTGTTCAGGAAGTCAACTGTTTCCAGATCAGCATAAGGGAACTTCTTTATAGGCCAGCACTACACTCTTCTTCCTTATCTAGAAAGAAGGATGTGTCTGTGTAAGTTAGGCCCACGGGTAGAGCTGGGGGCAGCAGGTATTTTCTCTCTTGGCCTATTCATGAAATGAATGGAGGATTTTCTGGTATAGAGTGATTAGGAGCGCAGCATTGGAGCCAGACTCCCTGGGTTTATGATGTGGCTCTGATACTTGCTGGTTTGGGCGCACACTCTAACCTTGTGCCTCTATTTCTCCATCTGTAAAAAGATAGGTTATAATAATACCTAATTCAATAATACCTAATTCCTAGGTTGCTGTGAAGAGTCAATGCGTTGGTTACAACAGTGTCTAGCCCATCATCAGCATTTTGTTATCATTTCTGCAATTTCTTTTTTTTTGAGTTGGAGTCTCACTCTTTCGCCCAGACTGGAGTGCAGTGGCCGCTCCCGGCCACCACAGCCTCGACCTGCTGGGCTCCGGCGATCCTTCCGCCTCAGCCTTCCGAGTAGCTGGAACTACAGGCGCGTGCTACCACGCCTGCCTAATTTTTTTTTTTTTTTATTGTAGAGATGAGGTCTCGCCAAGTTGCCCAGGCAGGTCTTCAACCCACGGGCTCAGGCAATCCACTCACCTTAGCCTCCCAAAGGCGCGGGATTATAGGCGGAGCCACCAAAATTCTGCAATTTCTTAACACGACGGTGAATCTTTTCCTCATGCCTTTGTGCTTAAAAAGGACTTTCCTTCCTTTTTTCTTCTTCAGCTGTGAAGTAAGGTCAGGCCCAGAGTTCATCACAAGGTCCTACAGATTCTACCACAATAACACCTTCAAGGCCTACCAGTTTTATTATGGCAGCAACCGGTGCACAAATCCCACCTACACACTCCTCGTCCGGGGCAAGATTCGCCTTCGCCAAGCCTCCTGGATCATCCGAGGGGGCACTGAAGCCGACTATCAGCTGCACAACGTCCAGGTTATCTGCCACACCGAAGTGGTGGCCGAGAGGCTCAGCCAGCTGGTGAACCGCACGTGCCCGGGCTTCCTCGCAGCTGGAAGCCCCTGGGTGCAGGATGTGGCCTATGACCTCTGGCGGGAGGAGAACGGCTGTGAGTGCACCAAAGCCGTGAACTTTGCCATGCACGAGCTCCAGCTCATCCGGGTAGAGAAGCAGTATCTTCACCACAACCTAGACCACCTGGTCGAGGAGCTCTTCCTCGGTGACATTCACACCGACGCCACCCAGAGAATGTTCTACCGGCCGTCCAGTTACCAGCCACCTCTGCAAAATGCCAAGGTACCCGTTTCCGCTGGCTTCCCTCAGAGCCCTGCCTTTTCTTCCTTATTCAGTTCATAAAGGCATAGCATGAGGGCCCGGGGGAACCCTGGAAGGGAGAATCCTGCGTCACCGAGAGGCAGGCCAAGGTGTGGCTGCTGCAGGGTGGGAGGAGATGTGGAACATGTAGCCAGTCAGGAGACCTGGGTCTGCCACCAACTTGCTCTGTGATGCGAGGACCCAGTTCTCCTGCTTGAAGTGGGTCATGGTATGGGGCCAGGGGATGGTGTTCCTGGAAAGTTCCGAAGGTTCCTTTGTGCTCTCACCTCCCAGGAACTTCTTCTGGGATTCTAAAATGAAGCACGAAGGAAGTGTGGAGAGGTCGAACCCACATAGGGAAGAGACACTGAACAATAGCAGCGGCCCCAGCCCTAGAGGAGGTGGGGAGGCCCAGGCAGGGGGAGGTGACAGTGGGATCTGCATGGAACATTGGAGTCCACAGAGGTCTTCCACCTGAGTCACTGCTCTCAGTCCTCACAACGCCCTGGGAAGGTACATATGGTGGTCCTGATCTTATTAGACAGAAGATGCAGCTGAAGTCCCAGGAGTTATGGCTTCTGCCAAGATCACATGGTCAGTGAGTTTCCGAACCAGACCATGAACCTGAAGCACTTTCCTCCAGACTCCATGTTCTTTCTCTTTTACAAAGAGAGATGTCAAGTCACTGGGATCAGAAAGGGAAGACTGAAGAGGACAGGAAACAATAAGCCATATAATGTTCCTTTCTTGAATGATATTCCAATAATTATATTTGGAATTCACAAGGCATTTCCTTCCCACAAGCTCAGAAAACGTGCCCTTGTGTAACTCATAGTCTCTACCGCAGAAGCCTGGGAAGCCAGAGGTGGGAGGGGTGGCGAGCTTTGGGTCAGGCCTCAGCTCAGAGCTGCAAACCCAGGCCTGCTGCGGGTGGTCAGGTGGTCGGGAAGCTTCCTCTGGAGTGTCTCCCCAGACATCCCAACTGGCTTTGCAGGACTCTCTCTAGAACTGTGGCTCTCTCAGTGCAGAGCACTGTTTCGTTTGGCGGGGCTTTGTTTTTTTAAACATCTTTTTTCTTAGTAGTCCTCTGAGCTTACTCATAGTGAGTCCAGATATCCCAGGGTACTTCGTGTGCCAAAGGCTACTCAGTGCTATCATTTTTATCTATGTTTTTGAGAGCTCATGTGATGAAAGTAGCCCTTATTATCATTATGAAATATCTGCTGAAGAAGCCCTCTTGGCAGAGGCCACTTCCTCTGGAAGCATCTTGTCAGGGATATGTCCCCAGACCCAGTGCTCCCTGTGGGTCTCCTGCTATGTGCTCTGCGGCCTGCTAGCAGGAATTGGTGCCACTGGGGTTTGTTCTAACACAGAACAGGAGCCTGGCTCATTTTGTTCTGCCTTGTGAGTTTTAAACATGATGAAGAGGTCGAGGCAAGTTAGGGTCGGTGGGGAGGGGCAGCCTCTGATGCTGGCACCTGTCTGGGACCCCAGAGAGTCTCATAGAATGGGTGACAGGGAAAGGAGCCCAAGGCGCTGCCCCTTCAGCATGAGGATTCTCCAGGACAGGCATCCAGAGGAGAATCTGCTCATCAGATTATACATGGATGAGAGTGGGACTCTGAGGCAGGCTTTAGCAGGTTTCTTGGGAAAATAGATAGGACTAATGGGCTTCCAATGACATTTTGGGACCTCTCCAGCTGGCAGCACCGAATCCTGTAGCTACATCACACTTTAACTTGGGATCCCTGGTTTAAGATAGGGGAGAGGAAATTTTCATACCTACCTGTGGCTTCCCCTGAGTCCAATCTAGCCGGCTTTCAACTGATCTCCAGTCGTGGGAGGTATGTACGAATGTCATGAATACAAATGATCCACAGACAGTCTGGAAACCTTATTAGCCGAGATCGTCCTCCCACCCCTGCCATCATCCCACCCTGAGCCTTTAGGGAGCTCTGATAAGTAGGCAGAGCCTCTCTCCTCTCCTGCTCATCCTCTGTTAGAGACACTTATGAGCAGCAAAGCACCAAAAGGTAGGGAGAGGCGAGTTGCGTCCTGAGGAGGCAGGTGCGGCAGGGGAATTTGCCATACTGGAGTCAGAACCCTGTTGTGGGCTCTGTACCTGAGCTTGGAGTGTTCTTGTGCCTGCGTGGGCTCTTTGATCTCCTAAGCTCTCTTTAGTACTGGGGGAATATTAACCATGACCACCTTTTTAATTTTCTTACCTGTCTCTTTACCTGCTACTTCCTGTTATTCTTCCTGCGGTGTGGTATGGAGGCCTCAAAGGTCAAGTCCACCTTCCTGTCACTCAGTAGATTCGCTCTCCCCCACCACTAGTCCAGGAGGAAAGACTCTTCATTCTGGTCAGTGCCTCTCACTAAACAGAACCTTTCTGTGGCTCGTGGACGGAAAATGTCTTGAAAGTGGATGTGATTACATGTTGGCATGGGCACGAAGGGTGGCAGTGGTAAAGCTGACCTTCTTAGAATTTTCTTAAACATTGTCTCGATAAATTGGCAAGAATATAGGCTTTGGAAATGGTAGCCAGTCCTGGAGTCTGATTCTTCTCTTGTCATCAGCAATATGGCATTGGCAGTTACCTGACCCCCTGGAGGCTTTGTTTTTCATTTCTGTAAAATGGTAAAAATGTAAGAATTGATGGGATGAATATGCAGAATGCTGTCTGGCATCTGTGTAGGGCCCCTCTCCAGAGCTCCTGTCCCCCTAGCCTGGAGGAAGTGGCCCTCCTGGGCTGATGGCTCAGAGAAGAAGGAGGGTGACAGTGATGATTGCCTAGGGAACATCAAAGTATTTTATGATGCCTAGCCATAAAACATTCCCTCTCATTTTCTCCTCCCTACTTTGCTGAGGCAGTTGTGGGAGCATTTACCAAGATACTTAAGAAGTAGACGCACCTGGCTCGGTGGCTCAGCCTGTAATCCCGCGCCTTTGGGAGGCTGAGGTGAGTGGATTGCCTGAGCCTGTGGGTTCGAGACCCGTCTGGGCAGCAAGACCTCATCTCTACAATAAATCAAAAAATCAACCGGGCGTGGTAGCACGTGCTTGTAATTCTGGCTACTTGGAAGGCTGAGGCGGAAGGATCGCTGGAGCCCAGCAGGTCGAGGCTGCGGGAGCGGCCACTGCACTCCAGTCTGGGCGACAGAGTGAGACTCCAACTCAAAAAAAAAAAAAAAAAGAAGTAGATGCCTTAAACCCTAGGCCTGATTTCCTGATTACAGAAAATTAAGGGTGGAGGGACTTTACAACCTTAGTTAGGTATTGTCTAGGACATACTGTTAAGTGTAATTAAAAAAAAAAGGAAGATACAAAATAGCATACATAATATGATACAATTTGTATAAAGCAGATAATGAAAGAAGCAGGAGAAAGATGAGTTTGTGGAAGAATCAGATTTTTTTTCTTTCTTTTTTTATTGTTATTTTTTGTTATAAAGATGGGTACATTTCAGGGTTAGGTATACAAATATGGATTATGCAGGTACTCTTGTTGATGAGGTATGCCCCTCCCTCCCCTAGCAGTTTCCCTCAACTGCCAATCCCACTCCCCCTTCCCTGACAGTTTCCCATTACTGCCTAACGCTTTCTTATAGTATGATAATTGTTCAAGGTCTGCTGATGAATGAGAATATATGGTACTCTATTCTTTGTTTATGAAAGGTGCTTAATGATCCCCTCTGAGGAAGAGAGCTATCTCGCTGGGATAGTCAGACAGGGACTTTTCACTTTTGATACCTCTTGGATTTTGTTCTGTGATCTTTTCTTAGCTAAACACAACTACCACACAACATTTAAATTAAAGAGAAAGAAGCCAGCGAGGACTCTGAGGCTCAGAGGAGTGCTGTGGCCACAGATGCAGAAGGCGGCCCAGCTGGGAGGAGGACCCAGGGCTTCCAGAGTCCACCTGGTGCCCTGCAGAGATGGCTGGGAGGTCAGCCGTAGGCCGAGTGGCTGTGGGAGCTGAAAGGGCCCATTATTCTCTTGTTGTCCTTCGCCTTGTACCTCTTGGCCTGCACAGTGCAGTGGAGTCTTCGGGAAGTTTTCAGATCCTTCCAGGACAGCCATGAAAAGGAATAAATGGACGTGGCTGCTGGTGTCTTTCCAGACTCTGGGCTGCAAAGCCCAGTGCTAGTGCCCCTGCAGGTTCTACAGTACAGATTGTCTGAGCCGCCTGCGGCTGCCCAGCCAACCAGAAGGAGGGTCGGGAGAGCGTCTTCAAAGACCGCACAGCCTGCCCAGGAGAGGCTGGTGCCCCCTTCCTTTGAACCCTTTGCTTTCCCTAATTGCTGGTCCATAGAGACCTGGCTGAAAATTAGCTTAAATGCTAAATTGACTTTAGAACCACGAGTCTCAGCCCCTCTAGAAACAGGACACCATGTAAAATAGAAACTTAAAGTCAACTTGTTTTTGTAAGCTTTAGGCAGCTTTGCTGTGAGGTTCAGAGTCCTTTGGCAAATAAATAATATTTGAAGAGATTCAGGTGTGCTGGGAGGGTTCTTTCAGAATGGAACTGGCTACTCTTCATTAAAAAAAAAAAAAAAAAAATCAAGACTGCCTAAAATAACCCCGAAATAAGATGCTTTGCCTGAATTGAGCTTAGCATCACGACAGCCATTACTTCTGCCTAGATTCTTTAGAATCGTGCAGTTGAAGGGGGTGGCGGCCATGTTCCATCTTTCGGGATGGAATCAAATGGTAATTAAAAACAAATGATTGCCAGGATCCTTAGAAATGCCAGTGCCTCCAGATCCAACTTGTAAGCAAATGGATTTGGTCTTTCTCCAAAATCCTGCCCTGATTGAACCACAGGGTCATAAATCAAAGGGGCTGTTGTAAGTGTTCTATCCCGGCACATATGCACCTGGGGAGCTACATGGGGAGGGGGGACAAGAACCAGGCTTTTCAGAAGTCCCGGAGCACTGCGAGACAAGAGGAACATGCCCGTGTGCTTGCTCTTTAATTTTG